GGACCGCCGCTAGCAGGCGGCAGGGTGCGGGGGCGTGCTCGGGGGACTGGGGCAGGGGAGGGCCAGGCCTCGGAGCCTGCTGGGCTGCGGCGTGTGGTGGCGACGGCGCAGTCGTGATGGGTGCTCCTGCATGTCGGGTCTGGTGCAATGCGGAATGAGGACCACACCCTGTACGAATTACTGGGACTTGCATCACAAGTGTTGCCAGTCAACCTTTGGACGCTGCATGGTTGACCGCAAGGTTCAGCGGCAGTATCTGGGCCACCAGGGCATGGAAGGGCAGGATGCAGCATCAGATCATCTAGCTACGTGCTGTCCGGCTTGTGCATTGGCGCGTGTTGAACACACTTTCTCGATGGTCAGTGTGTGCGCCACCGCACCGGCATTGTGCGCCGGGAATCGCGAATGTATCCCCACCGCAGCGCATCACAAGCCCAATTATCACAAGCGTGCGGATGCGGTCGCTTGTCGCGTGTCTTTACAGCCGTTCTAGGTCTAGGTGCGCAGGCGCGTTTGGAGCTACCCCGCTGATCTGCCCGCACCCGTCCGGCACTCAAGGAAGCCTTGTTCAGCATCTAGCTTGTATAGAAACCATGGCCACAATCACGGCGGAGCCGGTCACCAAGAAAGCGAAGGCGGGCTACGCCCACACCCGCGAGGTGTGATGCGATCGCGACGCCAAGAGCCTCTGCGTCGTACGTGACGGGAACATACATCAGGCAGCTGCGGCCCCGGGCTCAATGAGCGCGGCGCCACCGGCCCTTCCCTCCGCCGCGCCCGCAAGGGCCCTGCTGCGCACACCCGCCCAACAAGGGTCCAAACATGTCCTGGCCGCGCAGGCGTTTCTGAAGGTGTATGGGACCCTCAGGGACGAGATCGTGGATGATGAGCTGTTTGCAGGGCAGCCTGCGGATGCCAAGGCGTGGCTGCGTGAGGTGAGGCCTGAGGGGCGGTTGCAGTGCGGTCTGGGCAGTTTGATTTGAGTGCAGGCCGCCGCGGCCACCGCTACACCAACTTGCCAAGCGGCCAGCCACGTCACGGACTCGTGCAAAGCCAGCGGATTCTGACGCACCACCAAAGCGTCAGCAGCCGTGGGCCCTGAAAGCACCTGCTGAATTGCGCCACGACGGCCAAGCTGCCTGCTTGCAGGCACGGATTCATGTCGGGCAAATGCTGCCTCATACGCGCCCACACACCCACATATGCACAAGGACATGAACTTACACTTACACTTACACGCACACACACACACATTTAACGCGCACACACACACATCCACACGCACATTCCTCAACTCAACCCCTACCCCTTGCATCACCTCGCACAGATGCTGGACTACAATGTGCCGGGAGGCAAGCTGAACCGCGGGATGGCGGTGTACGACGTCCTGGCGGCCATGAAGGGTCCAGAGGTGGGGGCTGCACTGCAGGCGTCACGGGGGTCAGCGCCAGGGCGGCAGCAACACCACAAGATTTGCCGTTGCTGTGGGGCTGGTAGGGGTGAATCTGGGGGTGATCGAAGGGCGCTGCGGTCAAGACGGCTGGGTGGTGGTCGGGCTGCGGGGCCAGTGGTGAGAGCGCGGCCGCAGTGTTTGGGACTAAGGGCAAGCCAAGGCAGCGCAGGGGCGTGGCTGCTCAGGCGCGTCACGTCCGCCATGCTGCGGGGGTGGGCAATGGGTCGCCCACAGCGCTGCCAGGCAATTGCCTGCAGCAGCGGGCCCGATCGCAGCAGCAAATGGTCGTGTCGACAGCGGCACGACAGCCATGAACGTGCGCGGCCCCACTAAGCGGCAGGCGTCGTCGCTTGCACGCCTTGCAATAAGCGGCTGCACACGCGGCTCGCGCTTTGGTCGGCACGCATCGCCTGCCCTGTTGCGGCCCTGTTTGCCCTCCCTGGTCTCATGGGTTTGCCCCGCCCCCCGTCCCCTGCGGCCCTCCACAGAACCTGTCTGTTGAGGACATATTCCAGGCAAACGCCCTGGGCTGGTGCATCGAGCTGGTGCGCATTGGCTGCTGGTGACTCAGTGTTTGAGGGTCGTGCCTTTCCAATGGGGGGGCCGAGGGCGCAGGGGGCAGGCTGGCAGCGGGAGTGAAATGCCGACGATGATGGAAGGGCAGCTGCTTTCATGCAGGCGGCCACCGGCTTGGTCAGTCCGCAGCCGGCCAACACCGCCAGAGGGGCGGATGGCCAGAAGGGCGGCCCGCGTTCAGGCGAGCGCATTGGCTTCCAAAGTTGGCGGCAGCAGCACGTGCAGCCGCCGCGCTTGGTGAGCGGCAGCCGGGCCCCCGGCTGCTGATGGGCTGCGTGCCGCTTGCGACCATGGGGTTTGGAGCCCCGCCCCTGGCACCGACCCACGCACTTGGCACACTGCCGCCCGGCAGCTGCAAGCGTTCTTCCTGGTGGCGGATGACATCATGGACGGCTCCATCACGCGCCGCGGGCAGCCCTGCTGGTACAAAGTGCCCAAGGTGCGCGCATTGCATCGCTTGCACGAACACGCAGGGGCGGCGCACACGTTGGCTCCTCTCCTCTCTCGTGCTCTCTGCACACGCACGCACGCACGAAATTTTATACAGACACATATGTACACACGCATGCTTGCACTTGCATCACTTGCTACCCTCACACAC